AAAGATGCTCGACCAAATGTGAGGAACTTTTCAAAAGTCTCAAGACTTCTTTTAGGTTACATAGTGACGAGTTAACGCTCGAAACGTCAGCTTTAGACACTCTACAATGGCCAATTTACATTATCAACTCTTCAACTCAAGAATGTAAAGCTGCTATTTGCTGCTCCCCGAGAAACTATTACGCTTTTCTCGTGCTCTCCAAACTTGCCTCGTGTATTCATAACTCGATATGGGCACGCTACGCACGAATCAATTCTTTATTTTACCCTCAGAAATAGCACCCAGTTGTGAGAGAGACTCGCCTTATCCTCACTCAAGGCGCAACTTTTCGACGAAGTGGATTTGGAGTGTTTATCACTTCTTCCCCCTCCCTCCCCTCTCACACTACGATGAAATGGTCCAACCATGGCAACCATATGAAGTTATGATAACAGAGGGCTGAACTTAACAAAATTATCCTGCTGAAAAAAGACAAAAACAAAAAAAAGGAAAATTTTCAAAACTTCAAACCTTATCCCTAATATTGAGGTCTAAGAGAGGTTAAACTAAACAATTCTATCAATACATACACTGCCTCATAACTTTGATTTGGCTTGAAATCTTACATCAGATGATTGAAACCTTACTGTTTTTTTCTACGAATAGCATTGGAAGATCAGTTACTTTACAAAAGGAAATTTCGCTTGGATCTTCACCAGAATAGTCAGAGTGAGCTGAAGCCCTGAGACCTGTGGTAGCTCAAGAGACTCCGCACGAATCAAACGCGCGTTAGGACCCTGGGTACTAAATCATGCGTGAATCACCCGTTTGAAGCCCCTGGGAGAGGAGAGAGAGGGAAGGAGGTTCTCCAGAATTAAGATGAAGGTAACACTCAAAAGATGTTACAGTTTCGATAAAACACGCAGGGATTTGCTTTGTTTCTGTGGCATTTAAGCCACCACTCCAGGAAATGTTTTAGCCTTTGAATTGAACATCCTGTTGTTACACCATCGCCTCACCGTCATGAACGGATTATGGCGATAAATCCAAAGGCACTACCCTGGAATTGACTTACAGAGGGTCTATAGGAAAAGTTCAAAAGTTCCACTTTCACACCACAAAGTAAATGCCCGCAGATTTCCATTTCTCCTTCAAAACAGTCACTAGCTGACGGCACTCTTCACCATTAACCATATAAATATACCATGTGTATGCACTCTATTTTTGTAAGTAAGCGCATGCTCAGTGGCTTGTGCTGTCACTCCCCTTCACGAACATCCAGAGTACCTTGTACTATTCAAATGTCGAGTGTTTGGCCAGTAACTCCGCCTTAAACTCTAAGTAAATTATCCAGAGAACAGGTTTCAAGTATAAAATGATAAAAAACCTAAAATTGACTGATTTACCGGTGCATTGTCTTCAAAAATTTAAAAGGAAATGTGTGGTGGCAAGAAAGGAGAAATACTGAACAAAACAGATCTTAAGAGTTACAAAAGTGAACAGCTTGTCAGGGATTATTCCCTGTGAAGCTGTCATCCTCACTCAAAAAAGTTGTAACAATGCTCATCCCTTCAAGGTAAGCAGTTGTAGCTGAAAAATTAGCAAACCCAACTAGAGATCTTGAAATGAATGGGCCATTTCCAATATACTGAAATTTAAACTTGGCTCCGAAGCCTAGGGAAAAAAACAAAAGAAATCACATCGAGGTTGAGGAATGAATAAATCATTTCATTTGCCTTATTCCCCCTAGCCTCGGAGCCATTTTAGAATTTTAAGATATCGAGAATGGCCTATTGTCGACAAGGCTCAGATGATTGTGTTGTTCACCATATTCACCAAACATTAACAATATTCCAGTTCCTTTACTTTAGAGTCTTTTTAAAACCTAAATCTTGCATGAAATAAATACACATGTATTCACTATCTATTAACAATTGATTCTGATACTACCAGTGAAAAATCTATTTAAAAGAGATCTTCCCTTCAGAGAACGTTTGAAACGCAATTCTCGGATCTATTCACCCACAGCAGGTACATGCAGCAATGACAATAAAAGCCCCTAGATTGGGAAATTTTCAAAAGAATGCATTTATACTATGCTTCTAAATTCTATTGAGGAATAGCTGAGTCAATGCAACACCAAAATTACCATTCTGTATAACACATTGTTTTCTTAAAAAGGTTTCCTTATAATTGTTTACAATGTATGGAAACCATTTCACTCCTTATTTACAGATATAATGCATACAAGTACATTACAATGTTATAGATAGCTTTTTAAACAATCTAATGTCCCCCATTTGTCCCAGGCTCCATGTCACTGGCTGCGTCTTCAGCCTCCAAAACAAGTCTGCTCAGCTCTCCTGCACTATAGCCCAACAGGTTTTTCAGGTCACACACAAACTTGTAAACAAATCTGTAAGAAGAGGATACATTATCAGTTGGTCACTTTGCATCTGTACCATTCCACACAGTAAAACTAATGAACACTTTCGCCCCTAACATCTAAATATTGATTCTCCCTAAAGTATTCAATCATACATTATACGCCTGGTTGATAACTTTCTTTCTTCTTGTCACCTTACAGCTTGCATATGTAGAAATGCTACTTGAAGAAATTCCTTTTTGATCACTCCTTAGGTGAAAGGGTTGGGAATTACGACATCACGGGCGACGAGCCAGGAAAGAAAATAGTCCGAAATGTAAGTGGTCAGTGGTGAAACAACATTAATACTTCAAGTAGAGATAAATCATTTGTAGTTGCAGAAAACAGTTGCTTTGCAAAGCCGAAATGTTACCAAATAATACTTCGCTAATTAGAAAGTGAAGAAATTTTTCAAAAGCTTTGACTTTAACAATATCTTTTACTGCTACAGTATATCAACCAACAGAGGCATCGGTGACACTGGGAAAGGCATCAAGAAGAATGATATTTACGTTAATTGTAACTTTGTTGTGTGGCAAAAAAATGTATCTTCACTTCCGGCCGTTGAAGGGGTCTTTAATAAGTTTATAGCCACCCATCGTTTACGAAAGCAGTAAAAGATATGTACAGTCAACACTTCTGAAAACTTGCTTAACTTTTTCTTCGGCGAAGTATAGTGTTAACATTTTATGATTTATAACATTATTATTTACTGGAACTACTAATGATTTATTTCTCCATGCGTTATTAAGCCTATTTCACCACTGACCATTCGAATTTGACACATTTTTTCTAACCCGACCTGTTGCCCATAATGCAGTAACTCCCGAAAGGGTTGATGATTTTCATAACCTAAGCTTCTCGTTTTAGGTTGCCAGTCGGAAACTGTAAGATACGTCAATTATTCTTAATGTGACTGACATTTATAAATGATTTCGTTTATCTATACATAACCAAACAAACATGTATGCGGCACGTGTTTTATCGCCCCATATATGGCACTGTTCCAGATGCTTACAACGGGAAGATGAGTGTGTGTTTCTTTTCTCTAACAAGCCGAGAGCTGTGAGTGGGAGTCAACTGAAGCAAATCGTTAAATCAAGTGAATAAACCGTGACTTAATAAGGAAGCGTGGTACAGCTTTTTCACGTTTTCGACACAGTAGCGACCCCGCCAGGATAGCGTTGGAAATCATGGACAAACAAATTGCCGATCTTGAGAGAAAATTGACGACGCTGAATTTTTGTTTGAAGAAGACAGGAGATGTCTCAAAGAAAAATGAATGAACAGCCTCTGAGAGACACAAAGTGTCCGTTAAGACCCTCATGACAACAGTAGTCAAGTTAAAGGAATCCATTGAGGAACAGAAGTTTGCGAACGGCGACGACGATGAGGCAGTACAAGAATGGGCCGACAAAATCGAACAAGTTGTTAACGAAGGACATGCCTGTATACGCGAACTGGCAGTATGAATTGAGCAAATCGACCTAAATCTAAGACACGCAACCGCGCTCTATGAACACAAAAGAGAAGTCGAACTAGAAAAAGAGAAAAAACAAGAAGCTCTTAATCGAGTACACGCAAAGGAATTGGAATTTCAGAAGAAGAAGTTGGTGTTGAAACAAGCTCAAACGGAACCGCCGGAAACTGTGCAAATGGCTAGCAACGTGTTTAGATTGCTAAAGCACGTGATCGCAAAATCTGGCGGAGCACCGCAAGATTGGCTGCGTTTTGGGGACGGTTCGAAAGTCAAATTGATGAATCTGGTGCCCCTGAAGTAACAAAGTTCTCCTATTTGAAGGAATTAGTGAATTTGAAGGTGCGAAATCTCATCGATAGTCTTTCGTTTACGTCTGAAGGTTACCAAAAGGCTAAAGATTTACTCACAAGAAGAAATGGGAAAGAGAGTGAAGTTGTGAGAACTTACGTTAGGAATATTTTGGAGCTACCCACCGTGCATGAGAGAAACGTAAAGAAGATACACGAATTTTATGAAGCACTACTGTTCAACGTAGAGTCACTGCGAACATTGAAAAGTTTATACAAATTGGACGCCGCGGATCGATTTACCTTCGACAAGCTTGATGTGATAAAGAACGAACTTACTATGATAGATGAATATTGCGGCGAATGGACCTCGGTGGAATTCTTATAGGCACTGGAGAAATGGACAATTAATAATCCCATTTCAAACGAACAGCAATCAAAGAACTCGAATTTCCGTCGAGATCAGTCTAGAGCATTTCTTACCAAACAACAAGAAACCGGAAACCAGTCGAGGGCGAGCTCGGGGGCGTGTCTTTATTGTTATGGCCAACAACATAAGGCAATTAACTGAGATAACGGCCAAAGTATTGAAGAAAGGAAAAAAATACGTGCCGATAAGCGCTTGTGCTTCAATTGTACAAGTGCCAAACTCCGAGCCAGCGATTGTGAGAGCAGGAATACTTGCAGAATTTGCAATGGATAATCGCACGCACGTGATAATCGGCGCTAATGACTTTGCCAAGATATCAAGATACAGACCAGTGATCGTTGACGGGTCGGACGAAGAAGGGATATCGTAGCAGGGCGTACGCGTTTCGGGTGGACCATTATGCCCCCCGGAACAGATCTGGGTGATACATACCTTGCCGTAAATTTGACGGTTGATCACAACCAACTCTGCGCCCTAGATGTTCTGGGACCAGAGGACAGACCATCTACACACCAGAGCGATGTCCACGAAGAATTCAAGGAGCAACTAGCAAGGAGTCCAGACGGTCGATACGAAACTGGACTTCCTTGGAAAAGGAACTGTCCTGAGTTGCCCAATAATTATGCGGACAGTGTGCGCAGAGTGAACTCTCCTCTACGGAAATTAAAGAGAATTGATATGCCGGACCAGTACGCCGACATTATTCGGGAGCAGCCGGAGGAAGGAGTGGTTGAGAAGGCACCAGCAAAGGTAACAGGCAAAGAATTCTACATGCCCCATGGAGCGGTAATACGCGAGAATGCAGAATCAACTAAGCTACGAGTGGTATATGACGCCTCGGCCCGTGTGTATGACGGTGTACCATCATTGAATGAGTGTTTACACACCGGTCCCCCACTACAGAATGAACTTTGGAGTATTATTGTCCGCAATAGATTCCATCCTATTGCAGTAGCCGGAGATATGCGCAAGGCCTTCCTACAGATACGAGTCAAGGAAGCTGAACGTGACGCATTGAGATTCCACTAGATTAAAGACAAATCGACTGAACAGCTGGAAGTGCTAAGGTTTACGATAGTGGTGGTTAGTCTTGCACCTTCTCCTTTTCTATTCAATGCCGTGATACGGCAACACCTGGAAAGTGTGCAGTCCGAGGGACTGTGTAAGAAATCAAAAATACTTTGTAAGTAGATGATTTGATCACATGAGATAATATATAGATTTAGCCAAGCCTAAAAGCGGACCTCGCATTTTTTTTTCCCGCACGTCTCAAGGGCACAACGCCTTGCCCCGGCCAGGACTGGAACCCGAATCGTCCAATACACTGACCACAGGACTACTGGACAAAGCCGTGGCGTTGGCGTGCCCGCGGTACAGTTGACCACGCATGTTAAAAGTAGCAACTTGTGCAGTCGTACGGTAACTCAAAATTTTTTCGGCTTGATGGGTTACTACTATTTTGTATAGTTATGGAGCTACGCTCTGCGAGCTCCGCTTCTAAAGTGGAAGGTGCGCGAAAGCTCAAACATCATGCGGCAGAGATCTTTAATCGCGCAAAGTTCACTTTGCACAAATGGCACTCAAACGTGCCAGAACTTGAGATAACTGTACCGATGACGAGCCTTCCTTTTCTAAACAGCAGCTTGGTGCATCATCAGTTCGTGGAGAGTGCAAACTACTGGGACTCAAAAGGGACAAAG